GGAAAGGAGCAAAAAAGAAAGGAAAACGATATCCATGCGTTCGGGCTTTGAGGCACTCAGAAGGCTATTCTGCAAATCGATCCTTACGAGGAAGAGAGATGAGATGCCAGGTTGAAGGACATGACAAGCGCGAACCGAAAAATCATTCACGCAAATGCCAAAGGCTTTCCAATAATCCGGTCTCCTCGTACCGTGTACAGAGCATCTCTGCGCTAAGCAGCCGGTTCCTTGGACCCCGAGCTCTGTGGTTTGGCCTTTTTAAGGTTGAAAAACGTATATCAACTGGCTCTACCAAATATCTGCTGTCACACAACATCCGAGAAGAAACGATGGTCGAACTTGTTGCAGTAAATAAATAGATTTTTGTTTTTCTGGCACGATTCAACCCATCACCGGCCACCACCAAATCCCTAGTACATCGCCATCTACTAGGTAAAGTTTCAGTTAAGTCGAAACATGGCTGGCTTACGATCGAACGATCGGCCAACCACACGACTCGAAACTTGGATTTGTGGGAATATTGACTTCGATTTGCTCGATATATAACCTGGTTCCTTTCAATCACGACTGAATCTGACAGCAACGGGCATATCCTTTAGGGCCCTGATCTGCGAAATACTGGGATAGTCTCTACCAAACCCCCATACAAGTGAGGACACCACACCGTACAGACGTGTTTCTTCACTCCTCAGAGTTTCTTATGACCCCCACCCCCCGCGCGCAGGCAGGGATATGTTGGCCCTAGCCTAGTTGTCTATGAAATCGATCGTTGCCACGTCGCGGCGGTTGTCAGATCTGCTAGTCGCTCTCAAAAGTCAGGTATCTGAGAGGTGGGAAAGCCATATCATTCTCGCAAATAGCCGTATCAAGGGCGACGACAAAGTCCATAGCTAGGTAAAATGGTTAATACCGGATTTATCTACTCTGGACCTGCTTGCCTGTTGCGGACAGACGGAGAAGCGTGTAACATGGGTCTAGATGACGCTTTTTCGCCATAAAGCCAATATAATGGCGGGTTTGAAGCAAACACTCCGACCACCCCAAATAATTGACAGCTCATCTAATTTTGGAGAAGGGATAAAAAAGCAAACTAAGAAAACGAGAAAATGAACGAATAAACTTGCCTTCCTCTCGTTCAATATTCGGCATCGTATCCTTACTCTATGCCATGCCCCCAAGCCGTGGTAAACGTTACTGGCTAACATGATGGCCTCCCGCAGATGCTCAATGGCTTACAGCGTATGCTGTGGTGCAATGCATATAATCTCGAGTTTCAGGCTGCGCATAACATGCTCTTAATATGGAGCACTCTGTACATGCAGTGCCATAAATGACAGGTGACCCTTATCTGTTACCAATAATATAGTTCCGTCCGCCACTGCTGTCCATGCTTCTTACGTCGTGGTGCGTTTAAGATGTGTGGACAGACTCCTGACTGCCAGACAGAACCCTGGAAAACAACATCCTATAGAGATATAACCAGCAACAGTTACTTTCTCCAGGAAAC